ACTAAGTTAAAGATATCATAAAATCTGTATAATGCAGTATAATGGTAATATATCATAATTTTTGAAATAACAAATAGTGAAATACCCAAAAAATTTTAGAATTTATTATAAATTAATTAAAGAATATAAATGTATATACATGTACAATATGATATTAATCCTACAATATCTGATCTACTCTGAATATGATATTAAATACCTGGACTATGACAATGGGTGTGTTATTGGCGACAGCTTGATGGGCCGTTTCCAGTGTACCAGGACCTCCTTCTAACACTAGCAGTACCACAGGCACATAAACAGAGGCATCTAAACAATACAAACAAGAGAATCAAGCATTTCACTAGGGAAAAATACAAAAAGTAAAACTACCTTAAACTTCAAACAACCAAAAACAGTGTTTAATGTAAACTCTTGAGATCTGAATTTGTGATTCATATAGTTCTTAAATAATATATTCTCTAGACACCATCAAAGTAATAATTTGCAATTTTTTTTCCTCTTGCATATACTCATGGATGAACATGTGCATGCAGATTTAATGATTCAATCACTGAAATATCAGCATGTATTCTTGGCTCAAAAGTAATCTCTGAGAGGCATAGACAGGATACAGATTTTAACTTTTTTCTATCAGTGATCTTTAAGTTCCACAATTGACCTTTATTAAGTCAAGATGGTACAGACTGTAAGCTCATAAGAAATCTTAGTGTTAATTATAAGCTTCCAATGTGTCTGTATTAGAAAGTTATGTTCTGACTCAGACAGACTAACCAGGGTAATTCTATAAACACCCCCCCCCTTTGAACTTTGATTGGTTAGGGGGTATAATTAAAAGGTATTATAGTCCAATGTATCAGTATATGTAAAGGAAAATGTCATAAACTTTTCTCCCCCTCACACATAGGCTACAATCACATATGTCTTAATAAAAGGAAATGGCAAGAAGATTTATGAAATTTCAGGAAATGTTACAAAATTTCTGTTAAAGTTCAGCCAAAGAAATTCATGTTAGTTAGACATGTTAGAATAATAAAACTTTGATTAAAGCTGGATCTACGTTTCAGTTCATGAGTTTAACTTTGTGTGGGTGCAAATGACTTGTATATTTCATTAATGTCAGTGAGGTCACAAGCACAGAAATAGCACATGGCACCACTACCGAAAAGCTACACATAATGCCTGACATTACATTTATTATCAATCAATGAAATTTTTTTTGTCATAACTTGATATCAATTCATGCTTGTTTTATACTCAAGAATATTGATGGAATGATTACAATTTGTACTAAGGCTAAAAAAAATTGAAGTTAAGGTTCTCAGGCCCGTGAACATCAGTTTCGAGGTTGCCATTCAAAATTTTATTGTATTTTGATAAAATAAAAAGTTTGTAATGCAGAGATCAATTCAAAAAAAGTTCTGCCCTCATTTTCTCATAGTTTAGTACATGTACTTGAATATCGTTTCCGGTAGTCATTTAAAAGAGACTTGGCTACCTTGATGAAAAATACATTCAAAGACAATGCCTATGATGTTCATACAATGGATAATGCAAACCTATTGATCAGAAATGGAAAGTATGGGGAATATATCACTCTATAAAAATTTTTTTATCAATTAATAAAAAAATGCATATTAAAAAAATATCAATCTCCCTCTTCTAGTTCATTGCCAATAAAATCATACAAAAAGAGCCTCTATCTACATCCATATTGAAGAAAATTTGGCCTAAGAACCACAGAATTAAATTCATGTAGCCTTATAAAAGATTCAAAATGAAAATTCTTTCCAAAAATCTTAAGTAACAGCCTTGCAGCATTACATTAAAAATGGCTTAAGGTGCTTAATTAAAATACATGTACTTGTATCCTGACTAGCTAATTAAAAGCACAATTACCTTTTTACAGTAAATGTGCTTAAAATTGTTAATTAAAAAAAATTTACTTGTATTTTAATTGAAATCATATAAAATGTAAGAATACATGTATCTATCAATCTCACTTTTGCCAGTGTTGGTTTTCATGTTTGCTATGGAATTCTCCATTCTCGCCCTGAACGGGATCTCCACTCCAAACTGGTGCTGAGTTCCATTGTCAACCAACACAAAGTGGGTGTGATTCGGATCCAGGAAACTTTCCTTTATTCTCTGTTTCTTCCCTAGTCTGTATGAAGCAGGCCATTTTCCTCGACACTGTGGTAAAAAACATCAATGTATCTTAGAGTAAACTGTCATTCACATCAAACTTTGAATACTTTTTTTAATCCATTAAAAAATCTTTGGAATTAAAATTCAAAAAAGAGAATAAATTCAATACTTTTAATTGTGCTAAATTTTATAGTCTGTTAATATATGTAATATTTAAAAAAAATTATTATTTTGGATTCTCTTCCATTCTCTTTTTAGAGAAAAAAAATATGGGTGTGTGTGTATGTGTGTGTGTGTAGGGGGTGGGTTGTTTACCTCAGGATCAGTGAGGTCCTCTTTATTTTGTATGCAGCCCCACGTGGCCACCCCTATGACTATTATGGGGTTAGTGGAGGCTGACACAAGCCCATAATCTCTGACTGCTTCCCCCACATGTTTCATCACCCCAGCATTTGTCCCTCCTGTAATGATCCAGGCACCTAGAAAATAGAACTAGACTGAAAACTAGCACAGCTATAACCTTAATAATTACAATGCAATATACAGTCTAAATTTCATTCTAAATCACATTCATTATATTTAAGGAGGCTCATTACACCACTTTTTGATGACGTACTACACAAAAAAATAAACCTCCATTGTGTTGACCGGTTTGCTCAGGGGACGAGTTGTATAGGTACCTCTATAATATGACCCTGACCTTTAAAACGCTTTAAAAATAGATGAAACATGCGGTGTTGTAAACAGTGAAAACAAAGTAACGGATTCATTATGCATAAACCAAGAAGAATTGCTTTTAGGCAGAAACAAAAGAAAGCAACAGTCAAATCTTCGCCAAACAAGTAAAGTCAATTTCATAGCCATGCATGCAGTGAACTCTATCAATCATTGACATGTATGTATGGAGGAAATTCAAGTTAAAATCTACAACCTTGTTGAAATTAAAATTTTATTTAATTGCGCTATTTACTGTGTTGGTGTTAATTTATATATTTGTTTTATTGATTTAAATGTATACTCCAGCAATTTAAAGCTTTATTCTGAATTTTAGATGTAATGTCAAACGTTCCATAGTGTTTTGAGTCTTGGCTAATTACGAAAGATAACTCTTGAAAGTGGACTTTTTATACCAAATATTTTTTCAATTGGATTTTTCATTTCGTTTAAACTTTCTTCATTCAATTTGACACATGTAATTCATTGAAATACATTCCTTGTCTCTTCAGAACACATTTTTTAAATGTTTTATGCATAGATTAATAAGATACTGCCAGCAATTGTTTTCTAGGAGAAAATTATTTTTTCTAATAAAATTATTATTAGGTATTATGAGGTATTTTCACAGTGTGTACTTGTCTTAAGAAGATGCCCATCATTTGACACTGAAAGTTCTGAAATTCTGTGAATAATAAACCTGAAATAAAACATTTCACTAAAATAAAACAAAAACTAAAAAATTCTATAAAAAATATTTATGATATCAATATCCCCATCTGGATATTTGACATCTACATTATAAGTGGTGCTGTATTGAAATCTAAAATAAACTGTGGATGTAATGAGCCACCTTAAAATTGAATTCATTCTGACTTCATGGTTCAAATTTTGATTTGAGGTAAGTGTTTTTAACTAAAAAGTTTGAATGGCAAATCAATGGTCCCTATCAATATGAAAATCCCCGTTTTTACTTCCCAGGAAAACTAAAAAATTTTACCCTGTGCTTCTATCAAGATTAATTTCCCTTATTTAAGTCAAACTTGTGAACATGTAATTACACGCAAAATTACAGACCTGTACTGCGGGCCACCTTCATGAGACCACGCCTGAATTCTTCCTTGATTTTCTGTTTCATGGTGAAGTTTTTGGCCCCACCAGTGACTGAGATCAGGAGGTTGGGTTTCTCCAGACCCCAGACGTCCATCATCAGCTCCATCATGACGTCCATCTTGGTGTTCACATCCACACGTACATACTGTCATGTGAAAAAGTGTTAAGAATTAATAACATCTATCATTCATTTTGGAACTTCTACAGTAAAACTCGTTTAGTACGAACACGGATATGGCAAATTCACGAATATAGCGAAGTTATCTTGAATCCCTAGCTATATAGATTTAACAAATTCCTTATATACAGATATAACAAATTACGGATATAACAAAGTAATTTCATAGGTCCCAGTGACTTCGTTATAACGGAGTGTTACTGTTTATTTTTCAAAGAAAAAAGAAGTTATAAAGGTCTTCTTGAAGCATAATAGCTATTAATTTTAGAATTTGAACATTTTGATTATGTTGAAGATTCTGATATAGAAAGTGACAGTTAGTTAACATATGAACTGGTAATAATATATCTGAAATATTAAAATAAAACCTAAAGTAAACTTAAGATTGTACATATTTCATCAATTTAACAGCCAATTCCTAAACAAAACCCTGTAATTAAAATCAATTAGAAGTAATTTTCAGTGTCCATAAAACCTATATCACATTTCCTTAACAGAACATTACTAGCATATTTTTCTTACATTCCTCTCATTTTCTCCAAACCCCAGGAACTCAACAGTGCCAAAGGCATTGGTTCTGATGGCCCTGGTGTGGGTCTCTACCCTCCACTCCTCCAGTCCTGAGGCCCCAGGGGAGGATAATAGGGAGGTGTGGGCAGTCCGGGGGTAGCCACATTTACATATAGCTTCAATCTCTGTCCCAGCACTGCAATACAAAAATACAAGACCCTAGTGCTATGACCATAACAGAGACCATAACTGATGCTACACAAAGGTAAATATACAGTCTACTTCAGGCACTTCAAGCTGACTTTTGCAACTATTGCAGCTATAGGTATTCTGGAGTAATTTTGAAAAGCAAACAGGTATATAATACATGTATTTATATAAATAAATATATTTTTTAGTACGTAAGAAATTTCCACTCAATTTAGCACCAGGTATTTGCAAGAAAAAAGTAAGAAGGGTACATGTATTTACAAATTGAATTTTTGTTAAAAGTCAGAATTTTAGTGCACAGTTTTATGAAAAAATATATACATGTAGTAACATATTTTCAATTTTCATTGATATCTGACAACAGAAATCCAAATGTACATGTTCTCCAAAGCATATCAAACTGAAAGTAATCTGGATCAAAATTTTCAAATTGAATCTGAATTCCTGTATGATAATGTAAATTGTATACAGGGCATTGTTTGTCCCAATTTTATTTTTGGACTATAGCTTTCAAAGCCGAGCAAGAGTTATCTATCTTGAAACACAGCAGTATCTGGGTTAATCAGAGTTGAGCCATTCTCACACAATATGTCATATCAGAGTACACTTTTAAATGGTTTTTAAGTTAAGTATTTCGTAATTTTGTTCTACTT